GCCACTATTCTTTTATGAAGTATGATCGAAAAGAAATGTTCAAGTATATAGGATAGAAATTCGTAATCACTCATTCCACAGATGGTAACAGACGTCGTTGATACATGATCAAAGATCGTACATCAATAACGTATATTTATAATATATGAACTATTTCCTTATTATATTTCTGAAGGATTAAGTAAAAGGATAATGGAAAGATGTGTTCTAAAAGCCACAATGAAAAACAGTGTAAATAATTTCTTAGAAATTTAAGAGGTTTACATTATCTTTTTACAGTTTAATCATGTATTCATTAAAGTTTTCAGATAAAATAGTTTTACTAATGACAAAATTCTAGTCAGTGATCGTTGTAAAAAAAATAAGGTATAACTCGAGTTCAGCAAAAATACACCAACTGAACCACATTTCAACGATTTTGTGAAATTGGTACTGTCGAAAACCGATGACATTTTGAAAGATCTACACTAATTGCCAAACAAAAAGTAAACTTAAGAAGTTAAGAATGCTCACGAAAAGAAGTCAAGATCAATTATTCGGTCTATAGAACAAGTTTGCTCATTATCATAAAGAATCACCGTATCAGATTATGACAGAACATCTTTTATTATTAAATTTATATAATATACAATGTGTTCAACACATTGAACTATACTTGAGTGTATATGCGATCATACTATCAAAAAAAAAATATTTAACTACCTTGAATTGCTGTGGAACTACTAACGTTTTGTTTTTCGTTCGGACTTTTTAGAATATTCCGTAGATAAAATATTGAAGAATTTTTCAGTGATTGAGATAACAGCTTTTTATGATATTGAGTTAATATTTTGGGTGTATATATGCGACAATAAGCTCTGATCGCAAGGACTAACCCATATTCAATTAGTTCACATGTACTGAAGCTATGATTCAAACACAATCTTCGTCTTGTGATCATCTTATCAATCATGTTTAAATTATTTCTACTCTAAATTTTGTTAAGAATCATTTTAAAGTAACTAAGATGTTGTTTTCTCATGAAGAATCTCTGCTAAAGAGCACACACTGTTTTTTAATAAAACTGGTCCTTTCCCTTATAGCTTTGACAAATTCATTTGAAAATTTTATCAAAAAATTTTCACGAGACAACATGTTTGTGCTATATAATTTTGGCAATAATAAAGTAGACGTATGAAATTGTCTTTATATGTAGAGAAAAAGAAAAGAGTAATAGTTTGTGGAATAGTACTATGACAAACGAAAACTATTGAACTACATCTTACCATTAAATATATTTTTCGCAAGGGAAAGAATAATGTTTGAATCATAATAATAATACATATAAGTTGATGAAGGACTATTGGACGCTTGCGCAATCAAGTTTTACTGTTGCCTGCAGACATTCACAATATCAGCTCAATATTAAAAAGAATAGATGCACTTCAGAATGGAGAGCTACTTTTATTCATGACTATTTATTGAATAATATTTTACCAGCATCTTGAAGAAATAAATCAATTTTTGATTGATCAGATTCTGATCCTTCGCGTATTAATGGAAAATAAAGTATTGGTGTACTTTCAATAATAGCCATAATTTGAATTTGTAATATTATTGGATATGATATAAAATGATCAGTTAAATCAGCATAAACAATTTTATTTAAATATTTTTCTATTAAAATTTTATATTTAATATCATTATGAAATTCAATAAGTTCATCAAGAAATGATATAAAATAATGAACACGTTCATAATATTTATTTGAACAAAGTAAACCTATTTCAGCAACTGTGGATAAAAACAAAGATCGTTCACATGTTAAATACATTTCTGCAATATTTATCAATGAAGTTAAATACGAAGGAGACATCATTTGAGACATTGATATTGAAATATCTTTATTCTAAAGAGAAAATATAAATAAAAATATTAAAACATAATAAAAGACAAACCTCAAGAAGATCATCAACAAAGTGACGAGCACATTGTGCAGGTGTTAAATAAGTTGGATGTTGTTGTAATACAATATCCATTACTTAAAATATCTGAAAAAAAAAAGTTATATTATAATCAATGAATAGAAAATTTGATTTAAGAATTAAAAAAGGAAAAATATAAATTCTTTTATATCATAAAGAAAACGAAAAGTAAATTTTATTCTGAAACTTTACTATGAAGTGTTTGGCATAGTGCATAAAATTCTCGCTTTTCCTCGAATAGAACATGAGTTTCACCACATTATGGACATAATTCATAGTATTCTACTAGAAATCTCTCACTTGCCAATCGATACACATCAATCCTATAACATTTAATTTTTACTTTAACAAGATATTGAATACTTTCCATACGTATATGTGTATAAAATAAATTTGACTCATTAATAGTTTCTATCGACGTGCTAATCATTAGATTATTCACTTGATCAATAGATGTATCATCTTCATTAATAAGTTCTTGTATATTAGAAACTATTTCAGAGATTTATTTATTATATTTAGATATTTTCTTTTTTAATTTTTCTACTTGAAGATTATATTTTTTGTTAAATTCATTATATTTTTTAAGACACCATATTTGTAATATAGCTAATGGGCCTGTTTTCTCATCAATTTAAAGTCTCATTTTCACTAAAAATAGGTATCAATCTTATCATGCAGGTTTATAAAAAATAAAGAATAAAATTTTACGTTCATTAAGACGATCGGTCATAGGTATTAATTCATTATTTACTTCAGTTTGATGTTCATTAAAATATTACGAACATACATTTTTTTGACGATAATGACATAAACAAGTGATGGATCATTTACAATCATTAATCGAACATACCAATGAAGATGATGTCATTCTATGATCTAAAAAAAATTGAATGTTCAATATTTATTGTATTTGTCATTCGTAATCTCCAGTAAAAAGTTCTTAAACAGCTCGTTCGTTCGTTCGTTCGTTCGTATGAGTGAGTGTCGCTATGAATGAAAAGATGTCTCTAATAGATTAATTATTAATTTAATAAATATTTCAAGTTTTTTTAGTATAAAATAATTTTTTTTATAAAAATTTTATTTGATAATTATTGTATTAAAACATAGTTGATCATTGGTGATTATCTGTTGTCATAGAATTGATCATCTATAATGGTATTGAACAATTCGATGAATAATTGATCAAGTGCCTCTATATTTGTGGTTTTTATACATTTGTTAAAATAAAATGCCTCAAAGATTAAAGAAAAAAATTAGTGATGATCTAAATGATGGTGAAAGTGATTTAGAATCAAATAATGGAAATGATAGTTCAGAAAGTACTTTACCAACTGATCCAACACTTCCTGGTCTTGCTGGACTTTCTCTTCTTGATGTATGTATTTTGTTTATTTTTTTGCTTTTGAATAGGTTCGCAATCATTTAAAAATATATATTAAAGTTTGATAAATTAAGACATGTCAACAATATACTTATTTAATTTATTAATTGATAAGATAATATGAGGATTTCATCTTGCAATATATTGCAAACTTCATGAGTTATCTATCACGTTACGCTTTAAATCTTCTATATTTTTAATGAAAAATATTTTATAACGGATTATCGAAAAGTAATTAGATAAAATGTTCATTCATTTTTAAGATACCTACAGAAATTTGCAAAACATTCGTTTCGAATCGAAATGTTATGTTCTTTCGAAATACAACGTCAAAGTTTTTATACGACTTCTATTTAAAAATTTTTGGCACCCAACAATGTATATATACGTCCTACTATTTGGCTTAGAATATCAGCGATATATAAATATGTATGAATGATGTTATTGAACAAACATATCACTAATTTATTCTTTGATTATTTGGAAAAGCGTTTTATCTCGTAAGTGACAAACTAGGGTCGTGAAATCATTCTAGGACTCTATAGTCGCTTTAATCATCATACATTCTCTTTCGTTGTTCCATATATGGATAGTATAAGTAATAAAGTAGAGATCACAAAGATCGACTATTATTGAAAGACCGTAGATTAAAGAGTCTCCTCTTTGTCTAACTACTCGACATTTTCCTTCGCTCGCTCCACTAACATCGCAATCAACACAGGCTCAAAGATAATTTGTTGCTTGTTCATCTCATATTTTTCAACATGATATAAGATATGTGTCTTGACAGCAATGTACCTCTATATATTGTTGATTGTCTTGAAGACTATCATACAAATATGAACTACTAATATTTCCTTTACACAGAAATATAATATCTTTCAAAAAATTAAGAAACACCATACTAAAAGATTTTTTTACAAAAATCTGGATTTTTGAGAAAAAAAAGCCGGGTGTCAAAGGCTTAAGAGTGATGAGTCGACTTCTTAGAAGTCCGTATGTTAAGTTTGGACGAATTTTAGCGCTCCAAAAATTACTTAAAGTAGAATCGAAACTTGCTTCGCATACAACGAATGAAAAAGGTCACACATTTCTCAATAAAATAATATCCTAATGATTAGTTAGCTCGAAGTCATTTGTTAATAGGAAATATTTTGATAAGAGATACTATGTTAGTTTAGCCAAATTTCTTTAAAAAACAGATTTACAAAATGACCTCGATTAGTTTTAAATGATTGTTCTGAAACTGTTGATTCTCATATCACTTTGTAGAGAACAATTTTGCCTTGAATCCAATGTAGAAAGTCGGTAATAGAGCGTATGCAATAAAGCAGAGTCTAGCCGAAAAGAATATCATTACAGATCTCTAAAAAGTTGGCTAATATCTCTTTAAAAAATTTTGCAGTCATATTTGAAAAGAACACAGTATTTTGATTCTAACTAAATGTTTTCAAAATTTTTACAAATTCTTTGAAAAGATCGAAAAAATGAATGAACGTTTTGTCTAATTACTTGTCGATTATCTATTATTATGAGGGCAGATGTTTTCCATTGATATATATTTTATTTTTGATTCAAAAATAGAAAAATTACAGATAGTTGTTGTTTTTTTTTACTAAAGTCAATAGAATCAAGATCGATTAAAATAATTATTTTTCTTCTGTATAAAGAGTTGACCATAAAAATAACCATCGTTTAAATGTTTGCACAACTTCTTCTTCTTTAAAATCACGATAATCATATTGATTTGATAAAGAAGATTGAGGTAATTTTCTTACTTGATCTAAAATATCCATACCTTGTTCAAGAATTTTAACAAGAATTTTTCTTGGCCATTGATCATCAATTTTATCTGGTAATATTAATGAAAATACTTCATTATTTGTTGATGAATACATATTTGAGTATGGTTTAGTTTTACGTGATGAATTAAGTTCAAAAGATTTGTTTTTAGTTCGTGCTGTCGTAGGAATAGATAAGAACTGATTTATTGAACTTGCGTCATCAGTAAAACTTGTTCGATTAGATTTCATTGGTATTGATTTCCAATATTGAATTTTTTTTGTTAATAAATATTCTATTTCATCTCGATAAGTTTCAAGTAAAGATAATTGACCTTGAAACGAAAGATTTTCTCTTAATAAATGATGTTTATGTAAAATATCATCTAACGGTAAAATATCTCCATATAAACTGTGAAGATAACGTTGTCGTTTAGAATTTTGTTGATCTTTTTCAATAATTGATATTAAATTTTGTCGTTGTCTCATTTCTTTTACTGTTAATTGTTCTTTTTTATTGAAAAGTTTATTTGGCCATAGAACAACACCTAGGTTAAATAATGCTGGTAGTAATTGTTCGAATTCTACAGGAACTTGTTCACGAATAAAGTTGAATTTTTTTTTATCATATTCAGATAACGATGTATTAAATTCAAGTAATGATAAATTTGATACACGAAATTTAATTGTTGATGAACTTATTATACTTGAAGTATTATCCATTGATGTAGTACCATGATCACTAGATGATGTAGTTGACAAAAATGATGAAATACGTGAACCTGCTATTGTTGGTGATGTAGCAGTTGAAACTGATAAAGATTTGTTACTAAGTGAACGATTAAATTTTGGTTTTAATATTGATGTTAAATAAGGATCATCGTTATTTAATGAATTATCGTCATTATTGTTTTCTAAAAGATAAAAACTAACATAAGGAACTCAAAAAATGTTTCTAATATTAAAATTATTTGGAATCGAGTCAAAATTGAAAGTAAATGCATTGTTAAGCAACGATGGATCGTGAAAATAGAAGAAAAATTTGCGTAGCATTGAGTAAAAATAACGATCTTTTTGCAAAATTACGACACATATTATGTTTATTTGAAACATTTTCATATGTAGTTTTCAGGTTGGCTAGAAAATATTTATAATAAATTAACTATTATTATTAGCCAATAAAATAAGATTAAAATAAATTCAAGTAATTCGACTTGTAATCTATTCGACTCTTGACTATCAGAGCACATGATTACTCTTCAAAAATCTGTTAGTGCAATTCCTGCAGAGGTGATATGGGTTCAATTCGATTTCAAATAAACACGATGTAGCTGTTATTGCTAATCGCAGGAAGATTGTGTTATCTTATCTATTATGGAACATATTTCTTCACCATTTTTTTAGTTAATCTTACAGCAATGCAATAAGGAAATAGCTCATATATTATAATAAGATGTTATTGATAAATGGTTTTTGATCGTATATGAACAACGGTTTGTCGAGGACTGTGGGAGGGAAGAGTCCAAATTACTATCCTACGTAGTTCAACAGTCCTTTTACATTGTGTTTCATAAAACTGTGTAATCGAACTTGATCCATGTAAAGTCTTCTCCTCATCATTCAGAAATTCTAATTTTATCCACGATTCCAGTTTTCAAGCTTCACACATGACTGAGTAGCTGATTATTTCTATTTTCGAAAGAACTATCGTTCATTGCTTTTAAGATGTCTTCCGACAGTTTTACAAAGTTCTCTTTGTTGAATTCATAATCTGAATGGATTTCTGAAAGCCTGAATCGTCTCAAAGTCTTGTTAGCTTACAGTATAAGTTTGTAACATGGAGAATGTGACTAGCATACATAGGATAATATGCGCTACTAATTATTACATATTTACCAAATTAATTGATCGCATAGGACCTCAAAATGGGATTTTCAGTTTTTTACATGCTAGAGAACTCGGATCAGCTTTAAATTGAAGAAAAACTTGCACATAACAACTTTACAAAATCAAGTTTTTCATTTTTGATTTACTTCTTGAAAAAAATTCAAGTTTTTTTTTTATAAGAATGTCTTTAATTTTTCGAATCCTTTAATGAAGCTTTCACCAGAAGTAAATAAGCAAGATTTTAAATAATTGGATCGTATTTTATTGAAGCAGCAGGCCTTAAATACATTTTGATACGAATCCGAAAGCTTTATCATTAAATTTTTAGGAAAAAATCCTTAAAATACAAAATCAAATTTTTGAAAATTAAAAATTCTTAAACAATTCAATATTTTGACTTTTGACGACAAACATCCGGATACTTATTCTCTGAAATTTAGTGAAACTTAATGAAAAATCCTCTTAGGTTACATCTTTATATTCTATATTGACCTCTAATTCATTTATAATTATTAATTATTCTTCAATTTCGTAAGTTCAATCGTCTGACATTATTTATAGCAGAAGAAAACGCTATGATTATTCGAAGATTTTTTAGTAGAGAAATAATTATTAAGCTTAAAATTGTAGTGGAGTCAAACATTATTATTAATTCATTTTTAGATAAGGAAAACGAAAGAGACAGCGATATTTTATTAAATGAAACGCATTTTATGACACCATATCTTTATCTTAAACGAAACAAGGTTATCTCATACTTTCATTCATTTATTCAACTAGTTTGCCACGTTGAAATTTCACACATTGTCTATTCGCGTTGTCAGCTGACAAAGGTTATCTTTTATTGAAAGGTCAATATTTTATTTCATTTCGAAACGCTTCAGTTCACTACCGTGAAAAACTTTGATTCAACCATTTAAAAGGATCACATATGTTCTCAGTCAAAAAAAAACGTCAATTATTCTATAGGTCAAAGTATATCTATCAGTACTCTCATTCGTGAAAATGATTTCTTAAAAGAGCATAATTATAACCTGATTGAATTTCATGAATAGGAGTTAAATTTGATTGATGAACATGTTGATCAATATCCGATAATGAACCTGTTTTGTTAATAATTAACCTTGAAGTTGTTTCATCATTATTATTAACATTATTTGCAAATTGTACACGTTTATTTGGTTCAGGTTGAAGTAAAAGCCAACTTTTGATAGTATCATTTGAATCTGGTGAAATAAGATCTTCCTGATTTAATGATTTAAATAATGGAGATTTATTATCATTTACAGTTTGTTTATTTGATTCGTGTTTTATTTTTGGTAATGCAATCGTTTTTGGACGTTCACTAAATTCAAATCTAAATAATTAGTAAAATAAATATTCGAATATTTGAGTCATAATAAAATTGTTACCCTGTTGTATTTCTTCTCATTCTTGTCTTGAAGAGTTAATAGTCGTTAAAAGATATTAAAATACGTTATTCTTTTTTTATTGTTTTCTTTTTTTATAAAAGATAAATGTTATCAGCATTTTAAAAAAAAAACTATGTAAATATTTACAGGATTCATCTCCAACAGCTGGAGGTGTACTAGGTCAAAGAGCCAATGAATTTGATGGCTTATTATCAACTCCAACAACAAATCGTGAAAATCATATTAATAATAATCATCTTATGAAAAATATAATTGAAACAAAAAAACTTCAACAGGCTATTCAAATACTTAAAATTGAATTAAATCAACGTGATCTTTTAATACAAAATCAAAAAATACATTATGAAGAAAAATGTGAAGAATTACAAGAAAAATTAGCTGATATGACATATCAAAAACAATTATTGCAAACAAAACTTGATTCACAACTTCAAGTAAAAATTTAAAAAAAAAAAAAAAAGAAATAATTATAAAGCACGAAGATTACAAACCAGCCCACTATGCGTTTCCACATAAAAACTACTCAGTCACCAGGAAAAAATTGTGCTGAGTGATTTGATGACGTTTTCAAGTGAAATGGAAATGATTCTGATTATTACACGGTCACTATATGACACTTATAAAACTTACAGTAAAATGAGTGTTATTTATTTACTGAAATAGATCCGTTATATTTTACTAATTTATGATATTTATGCGTCAGTATGAGTGACGAAGTGATTGCCGTCGACCGTGCGATCGATCTTTCTCTCTTATATTCAACTTAATATAGTTTCTTTTCTATACAAATCGATAGTCGTTTTGAAGAGCTCTACAAAATGATACTATTGTGTAAAAATATATATTAGGTCTATGACATTGAATATATGTGCAAAATGTTTGAGAACACCAAAACACGGTACTTTTTGACTCAAATTTGATCCATTTTGATTAGAATGTTTTGATTATTAATCACAAAAATGATAAAGAAAATACTGAGTTGATCTGTACATTTTTCAAACTACTTTTAACAATTTTTACTTTTGTTGAAAAATTGGGCGCTGGTCCTCCAATGTGAAGCTGTCAAAACATGATTTGAAAAACATGTAGATTGACTGATTTTTTTGTTTTGATTCAAATATGTCATTTTTGTGATTAATAGTCAAATCATTCTAATCAAATTGATCAGGTTTGAACAAAAAAATTGGCTTTATTTGGTGTCTGCAAATATTGTGTAAATACATTCAGTATTTTGCTCTGATATTTAGTTCCACACAATAGTATCATTTTGTAGAATTTCAAAAGGACTATTAATTGGTATAGAAAAGAAAAAAACGACTGCACTGTCGATGACAATCATTTCGCCACTCATATTGACACACAATATGCTGAACGGATAACCGAAAATATTCTCAAAGAGATCTTATGTTTTGATTGTTCAAATATAGATTTGTGCAGTTTTATGCGCTCTTTCTAATTATGTATATATCAAATCAAATATGGATCTATTTCCATATAATAGCTGTGTAATGATTCAAATCATTTTCATTTCGATTGAAAATGTCACCAAATGGATTGGCGCAATTTTTTACTGGTGATCGAGTAGTTTTTACGTGGAAATTCTTAGTGGGTCGACTTGTAGTCTTATGTGTTTCTCGTTTTTTTGTTTTAAAAATATGTTGATTTATGTTCTTAGATTGATCGTGAATTAGCATTACGTTCACAAGATGAAGTTCGTCAACAATTATCACAAATTATGGAACGCCAACATCAATTAGAAGATGTTAATAAACGTTTAATAGCAAAATCTAATGAAATTCGACATAATTTACATAATAAAATTTTACCTACTGATGAAGAATATAGAACTTTAAAATCAACAAATATTAATTCTGAACAAATGTCACTTAAAGATTTTATTATGGTTTGTCTCTTTTATTTAATAAGAAGAAAACCATCTGAAAAAAAAAATATTTGTTTTTTTTTGTTTTTTTGTTTTAGATAAAATTCTATGAAACAGTACGACCATTAGAAACCGAAATTGACAATTTAAGAAGAACGCAAAATATATTAGATAGTCAATTAGCAGCAAATGGACAAGATCTTATTCAAACACAAAAAGTAAATTAATTAAATTAATATAAAGCAGAATACAGTCAAATTAATGCTACAGATTATATATAATAGGTGTTTCATTATAAATAGTCTACTTTCATGTTCTTCTTTCGAGAAATTTGATACTCATTTTAAATTTTAGTTCTGATCCTGTTGGATAAAGCATTTAATTCTCTAGAAAACTACTCGTTGACAAATATTTTTCATGATATCATGAACTTTAAGAGATAAACATTTATTAATATGTCACACTGCGAATTCTTCTTTTTTTTCTAGAGATAAAAGAAAAAATTATTTGTGAACGTATGTATTCATCGAGATTATGGGATCTAGTTCTGACTTGCAGTTTATTTCTCTCTCTATATATATATATCTCGATAGATGAATTCTCTTTGCAACAATGTAATGATTACATATAGGGTGATAACGGGAGCAAGAAGATCGTACGATGATAAGAAATAAAAACCTATGATGTATAAATAACAACCAGACAAAAAGTAAAAAATTTAAATATATGAGTATTATCATATAGGTTAACGAATGATCGAAACATTTTTAGCCAATGTTTTTGTTTACATTTGATCCGTTAAAAAGTATTTTCAATAGGTTAGGATCAGAATTTTGTGCTCTTTTCGAATAAGAGCTTAGAGGTTTTGTGTCACTTTTCGTTGAAGATTAGTGAAATAATCTTTGAAAAGCATAAAAATTAGTTGAGATGAAAATTTTTTATGTATTTTCACTATTGCAATTTGAAATTAAAATTTAGGATCGTTATTTATGTGTCACCTTGTAGATAAGAAGGTGCCCTACAAAATGCACTATTTTAGCTTGTGTTTTGTCTTTCGACAAGACGCGTCAATTTTTATTTTTCTTAAAAGTATTCAGTTTTGAAACATTGACAACTGTTTTAGGTTGAAAGAAATTCTTGAAAACATGCTTGAGTAAAAGCTAACGCTTAGTTCAATATCGATTTGTCTAGAGAAATGTTCGCTCTACTAAACGACTGACTACGACAACTTTTCATATGCTCAAAAACAGACTTATAGAATAAGTAAAAACCTGTTGGCTTATCATTAAAAATAATTTTTCAAATATTTCAGAAAGTCTCTCAATCCTCCTGAATAAAAATAAACACAAAATTTCTAAGCCAATATTCAAATACTGGTCGCGACCTGTAGGTTTTTCAGCTCGTCTGAAAGGCTTCCAAGCATACCAAAATGAACAAACATGTTCACCGAAAACGTCAGCCCGCAAGTTCCGTTCAAACTAAATTTTTGATGTTTTCAAATATTTTTTCACTACTCTCGAATAAAAACAGAAAAAATTTCTTCGTTCAAATTCAAGAAGACTATCCTAATCCATAGCTTTTGACTAGTCAGAAATATTTTTGTAACGGGTTAAATATGAACAAACATCTTGTCTAAAAGCTTTACGAGGACCCGTTATGAGAAAGTTCTTGTAATCTCATCTGAAGAAAAGTCAGGTCATAACAATGATTAATCGTAAAAATGAAATACTGTAAACCAACATACAGAAAATTCTTCGTTCTTTATTTTCATGATTTTATTACAGTTCTTGCTGCTTTGGATGCATTATGAAAAATAATGTTTTTACATGAAAAAGAAAACTTCTACTTTAAAATGGTGAATCTTGTATGATTAGATGCAAAATTTAATTCTGCACAAAGTAGTATGTGCCTTCACTAAAACAATTGAAATATTTAGATTACTTTGAATCGATCTAAAATAATGATTCGGATCAGTCCGATCAAAGATTTTGTTTTGTTGTTTTAACTTTCACATCCCTATGATTGAGTAGGTACTAATCTTTTTATCTTTAGTTTGACGAAAAAAAAATTCATTCCAACGGTAAACTAAATAGTTTCCTAAAGAATTGAGTATTCTATCCAATGAGATCAAAATCAAACTTTAAAATAATCATTAAACACCATAAAGATAGAAAATAAAAGCAGACAATTCATTATAGACCACTCGGTATTTCACGAATCAAGCTTTTATTTTCAAAATGACTAAACAATATTCTTTGTTTCTATTGTTTGATCCAAGTGCATATTACTAATAAGATCTCAAATAGACGTACATCTAACCAGTAGTTTCATTCTAAAAACTGTTCTGTCACTACATACGTCACGTACATAATAATCTCAAAATGTTAAGATTAAGACTATCTACTCGATAGCTACTAATGTGGTCAACACGTTGTTCTGTTTGGTAATAAATCTATAGACAAAGTCAGTTTTGTATTATCTCTTACTCATAGATAAAATTATTATCTAATATTCATTGATCTTCAGATTATATGTTCGAAAAGTATTGTCAATGTCTCTATGAAATATAAATCGAAAGTGTCGAAACGAATAAGAACATAGTTTACTTCCTATTATTTACTGAAACATTTGTACAACTTAATTACATTGATATCATCTTTCCTCATATACAGTCTAAGCAATAAGAATGGATAATTGATGACTTCATCTACTTTGAGAATAGTGCTATACTGAATAAGTGGAAATGGTTTTTTTTTAGCATGAATTTAGTATAGAACGTCTATCGAATATTTCTGATTTCATCATTGAATGATTATGTTTTACTCATAGATTAATAATCAAAGTTGTTATTTTCAAATTTTTGACAAAATTTAATTTTTCTATTAAAAGACCTTAGATGAAGAACGCCGTTCAAATCATGCTGTTCATATGCAATTACAAAAATTAACATCAGAATTAAATGAATATAAAAATGTATGTGAGCAATTTGATTTCAAAAAACAAAATTATGATCGAATTAAATCGTAATTTTAATTTTTTTTCAATGTTATTTGAAATTTTTTCTTTAAATTTTTATAGAGAACGTGATCAATATGAACGTCGTGTTGTTGAACTTGA